GATTACCCAGTGCAGCCTTCCTTGCCCAAGAGAAGCAGTGGGAGGATGGAATTGTAGAATGGGAGACTGGACAATGTGTCATGTGTAAGAAGACATTTTACGGTGCAATCTGTGTTTCATCGCTTAGCTGTAAATATAGGCCGAGCTTTGCATGCAGCTAGGAGTGGGAATCATCAGTACAGCTTCCTACTGGCCGTGTACTAAACAGTCATGTAACTAATTTGCAAGACGGATACGCGAAAGAAAAAATAGCGAGAACAAAGAGAGTGGAAGAGAAGTGCGTGTAATCCAGACATATGTAAACCCCGTTGGCGCAGTGCCAAAGTCTAATAAACATACAACACTTATTAAATCTTTGATTTTTAATGGATGTTTTTAAGAGAGAGAGAGAGAGCAATAAAGAGTGTTGTGGACGGGCGTACCTGGTGGGCTCTGTATGCATACGATGAACGGTGTCTTCTTGAGGCGACTCTCCGAGATTGCTTCCGCAACAGTGCCTTCAAACCACTTCATATTCAGTGCCTGAAAAAAAAAAGTACTGCTCCTTTTTTCCAGCTTATCAAGAAACAAACAGCGAAACGCGCTCGAGGACTGAGCCCTCATTCCCTGGCAGGAAGCGGAAGTAGTCTGAGCAGTAGCAGTGCTGTTCCTCTTCCGAGGCCTGAAGCGAGCTAATGCTCCTCAGCACTCGCCGGTTCCAATTCGCCCACTACTAGCTCTTCGTTCCTTTTGCTTCTTCCTGTTGTCTTCCTCCTTCCTTTTAGCATTGCGTCCGGCATACTGACGAGGTCCTGCCGCGGTTTTTAGTTAAGGCGTATACGATTTAATGGACCGAAACGTCTTATCTCATTCTCTCAAACTGCTATTTATCGCACTTTCACCAGTTAAGTGTGTGCCTGGTTGCTGCAATTTGCTTACTGCAAAAGGCAATAACGGAGGAGAAATGATGCAGAGGCGTCTGCTGCCCGGGACCATAGAAGGAAACTCATTGGGAATCTTGTCCAAGATCAAGCAAATCCGCTCCAACTCACGCATCCCGAGGCATCGCTCACAGATGGGACCATTTCTCGTTCGCTTCTCATTCACTGCTCACACCAGCCACACGCTCCAGCACTGCGTTCTTCTCAGAATCACTCACTCAAAAGCTATCCAACACGGCAACCAGATGTTCAGCACAGTCACCGGCTCACCTGCTTCGACAGCGAAACAGCAGCTGCACCGGGATGCCGCGGCGAGTTAACCTATTTCCTCGATCGACGCACCCAATCGATCCTCCCGGGACTCGTTGCTTCGTTTCGATGCCAGTGGCACATGATGGAAAATCAAGCCGGCTATCAGCAACCTTGGCAGCCATCAGCTCAGCAGTTCTCCCGACAGAACTTTGGCAACCCCCCTATTCGAGATGTCACTGGCGTGTGGGTGTGTGTGTGTGGCGGAGTGTGTGTGTGTGTGTGTGGCGGGGGTGTGTGTGTACTGAGCATCGCCAACTGGTCTCGTCTAGGATGTTCCCACTCATAGACTGCGGTGAATTAGCTTATCATCTCCCGTACAGGGTTCGACTCGATACTAGTTACGAGTGCCACCCTCCATATCCTCCAGCATTCCCTGTGGAAGCGTGTAAGCTTTTGCTGTCCTTCGGAAGCCGTGTACTCCTATTAGTCGCACTTTCTTTCCGGCTAACTTGCAGGAAGTACAGTCCTTCATAAGTGCGCGAATTTATAGTGCAAACCCTCCGTAGAACTGCCCTCCCCGACCCCTGATGCTGCCATACCAGTATGGCTTTTTGAGCAGTCGAATTACGAAAATGGCAGTCTGCCAATTCTGAGAAGCAGTTGACGTTGGAACGGAAGTACCGTAACGAACTAGACGAGTTCGGACGAGCTCGCTTTGAGCAGGCGTACGGGAGGCAGTTAACAGCTGCTAGTACGTATGCAGTAGTTGCCTGAGCTTTACGCTGGTCACTCTGACATTGGTCAGTTGGACAAAACGCAGCAAAGTGACCGCACCGATTAATGGGACAAACACAATGGAGCACAGCGCCTTCCCGACATGCTTGAAGATGCCAGGATTTGAACTGCCTTGTTCTCCAACTTCGACACGCTATCCTGTTGCCCCTTTCACATCACGCCGAGATGCCTGGGCTGAATGACTTGTATTGGTAGGCGCCGAAATATTGAAAAGCTGCGAAAAACTTCCACATTTGCAGCTCAACCGTCGTACTGACGAGATCCAGTCGCGGTGCAGAGGTAAGAAATTCCTGAGCTTACGGACCGGGACCTGATTAGCGTCTTGACCCCTTTCAGCGCTTTCCACCCCTTTATCCTCTGGTCCATTTTAACTCCGCTATTTTCCCTGTCACGTAAATAATTTACACATGGAAGCAAGATCTTCCGATCCAGAAAAGCCCATGAACATAGCACACAGACAGCTTTCGAGTATTGTAAAAACTGTAGAACATACCAGGCACCAAAACTGATCAAATGCACGCAAAACAAGAAGAGGGAAGAAGGAAAAATGTTTTTACAGCAAATAAATTTTCCAACTTTTCCCTTTGTAAAAACAGCCAATGGACATAGCGCAGTGAGAAGCAGTACCACTACTCAATTGCAGAAGCTCAAGCATTTAGCTTCGCCAGTGAGACAATCAATCCCTCTCTACGATTCATTCAATCGTTTCAATGGTAAATTGGTACTGACATATGCCGGGGAAAAAAATACGCCATTAGCATGCTTGTAAAGAGAGGACAAACAACAGTCTTGTGAACTTGTGGTTTTTGATAGCATTTGCTACCAATCGGGCTAATTACGAATGCCTTCACAGAGAGCGAGTAAAGAGAGGGCTTTCGATTTCGTTATTTTTTTTTGAGTGATAAAGTTTCAATCATCTTGAAATGTTGATTCTGATTACACAATAACATGCGTAATTTCAGTAACACAAAAATTGCGATCACTTTCTTTCGCAACGGATCACCGTATCGCTAATATTTATTTTTGTTGCGCCAACAGATCAAAGCTTATTATCAGTATAATAATAATCATGAGGACAACGATTATGCTACCTTTCAATTCCAGATACACGGCGTGAGCATCTTGCAGGGAAACGTTTGTCGCCGATCCCTGCTGCTTGTTCACGCTGAAATGCCCGATCACTGAAACCCAGATACGATTTGCATGGGACTCGAGTTGTTCAAATGCTCCCGTACATCGGATGCGCGGGGCCTGAGCTGCACCCCTAGTTAGCACCTACCGCTTGTTCGATGTGTGTGCGCAGGCCTTGCAGGCATTATCATTTTTTCCCGTAGATCGTTGATGAAAAATTCTTGACATTATGTTAAAAATTCTTGATACTGTGTTAA